ATATTTAATATATAAAAATTAATTTTAATTATATATATATATATAATAAAATAGTTAAACAAAAACCCTATTTTGGAACAAAGTGGGCCGAAAGTAACTAATCTAATCATCCGCTATTTTAGGGATGTTTGAAAAATGAATGTAAATGCATATATCTTTCCATCCACCTGCTGATAAACCCGTCTAAAAAAATTAAATTGCTTAATCATTTGAATTGCATATAATTGAGTGTAGGGGAAAAATAAAAATTTGGTCACCCACTGCATCAGACACGCTTAAAAGAAAAAGAAAAACGAACATAACAAACAGTTGCCAAAGATGCAGAGAAACATACATATTATTAGAGGACTTGCTTGTGGTCCAGACATCATCTAATGATGCAAAACCAAGGGAATTTAAACATCTTTAGCTAATGCAGAAAGATCAGCATCTCCAGATTCCTTCTCCTTAGATTTAGGATGAGCTTCTGGCCGTCGATATTCTTCACTAGGTATCCCTGGCCTCATAGAAGGTGAAGAAGATTCTTCGTCAAAGATGCTTGGAGACTTAACAAAAACATCAAAAAAGCCTTTCTTCATTTCTTCAGCTGCGTCGAAGAAACGACTGAGACCATCCAACATGCCACGTTCCATGACTTCAATATCATTTCGCAGCCCAGGGAAGTCAAACACACCACCTTCTGATGACCTAAATGGAATTCCTTTAAGTACCTCATCTGTGATATCCTCTTCAGTATACTCTTTGTTTGATTGCAACACTTCAACAGGCCTAAAAAATGTGAAAGTAAAGATGAGATAAAAATTATAATCACATTTTAATGATAGTGACAATAGAACGACTGATTCAGAGAGGGTAACTGGCTGGTCCAGCCATATTCCCAAATAATTTAATTCCCAAACTTTAAAATCAACCTATAAAGCAGAGTCCTTCAAAAAGAAGCTATGTCCATATGAAAATACTCCAATGGTGCACTTCTAAAAGGCTGTGCAGAACCTAATGCCTGAAAATGAAATCAACTAATGCACATGCACACTGATGCACAAACATGTAAGTGCACCCAGGCCACATACAAATAGAGATGGGTTGGTATCATAAATTTAAATGGAACCAAACATGGTCTTATTTGGATAAACATTTTATAAACACTTGTAGAAAATAAGAATGTAAAATGATTCAAGTTTCTTTCACAAGTTAAAAATCACCTTATACTCCTCAGCTTTGGAGAAATTAGATAAAAGAACTTTTATAAAATTGTATAAATTGATTTTAACTAATAAAAACGGCTACATTCATTTTATCTATTTTCGTCGCCTATAAGTACATAAAAGTTTATCTGAACATGACTTAAGTAGAGTACTAAGGTTCTTGTGACTCGAGATATTTGGCCATCAAATATAAACCGTGCAGTATGGGCCTACTCACTGATGACAAGCTCAACTGCAAGAATTCTCTGTGTGTGTGTGTGTTTAAGGGTGACTGGAAGCATTCCCTTTCCCTCCATGTTGCCAAACAGAACACTGTAGCAATTTGATTTTCAATGGAAGCAACCAAGAAAAAATCAATTGCACCTTCCACTTCTAATATGGTTATAAGTCCTCTATTTGTGCGAGTTACAATAGATAATAATTTGACTTCCAACAACCTATCAAGAAATCGTCCATACTTTAAAATATTACAAAGTCTATTATCTGGTTTGTCTACAATGATAAAAAAACTAGTCATCCAAACACTAAATCTTAAAAAGACTAAACAAACTAGATTTTTAAAAACTAATTCAACCATTACATAGTATGTCATGCTTACTTTCAACCCATTTACCATACCCTTATCAAATAACAAGCTACTTTTCACCTGGTTTTGCATGAATGCAAATAAATGAAAAGAAGTCGGAGAAAAATAGAGTAGGTGATGGAGGACAAAGGAGGGTCACTATTATTATTTATATCTATTTGAATTTTATGACAATCTTAGCTATACATTTTCACTTCTGTTTTGCATCAACAGGATTCACATATAAGGACTTAGATACAAATCAACATACCTCTTGGGGAAAGAATTTACAACCAAGGCCCTAGAATTAGATACATCATACATGTCAATGTGAAAGCTTCATAACAGTAGTATGTTTTATAGATTTTCTATATGGAAATTTTAAGCCTACACCTCACACCTTGTGAGTTATCTACTTATCTTAACTCCTTTAGACAAGGATATGCCATAGCCATACATAGCTCTATAATTTTTTCATTTTATTTTTCCAGACTTACATTGCTATCAAAAGATATAACAGTTTTTGGACATACTTATCCCTAGAAAATCTATACCTCCGGTCTTTGCCCTAATTCTTAAAAAGATCAAAGATATCAATGCAGCCGTTACCAATTCTATTCAAAATATTCCAGATTTTCAATTCAAAACATTCATTAAATTATTTTGTGATTCAGAAAACAAATAAATTCTACATACTGTAGGCTAGAATTCATAGCAAACCTCTCCCTAGTATCTAATCAATCAAACAATCAATAGTATTTTCTACGGCATCACATCTTAGAGTATTGTAAAAATAAATAAATAAATAAAAGATTTGTAATAAGTGAAAAATAAGAATTACTTTCCGACGCAATTCCTGAGAAGTTCTTCGGTTTTTTCGCATTTTCTGACGAACTTTCCAGATTCGACCTCCTCTGTTCTGCACTGCGATTTCACGACCTTCGTGGTGGAGCATCGTTCCGAAGAGTCATCGCGTCGATGTTCGCTGCTGTTGTCGTCCCTCCAAACCCAACCCATTTTTTGTGTTTGCAACTTTCGTACAGAAATTCCTCTCTTTTCGCTTCTTTTAGAGGTATTTTTGTGTCTGCAACTTGCACACCAAGATTTCGGGTCAAACGGTGCGTTTTCACTTCTCGCTATTGCTAACAGGAAAACATACATTAAAAAAATAAATTTTAAAAATCATTTGATTAATGCTGTCAAAAATGATTTAATTAATAAAAATATTTTATTGATAATGAAAAAAATATGGGTGTTAGAATTTTTACCTTTTTGTTTGAATAATATTTAATTATTTTGATTGAAAAAATTAAATATTGATCAAATAAATTAAAACCAATCATAATTTTGTTTTAAAGATTACCTAATTAAAGATTAAAGAATATTGATTTAGTTAGATAAAAAAATTTATATATATATTATCCTTTATCTCGTTTTAAAAACTTGTTTTTGTCTATTTATTTGATTCATGTAAAAAACTTAAATTGGAAAAGAATATTTACATATTTAGTATTTTTCAAACTCTAGAGGGGTGGATATAGATTGTTCTCATGTTTGATTGGAAATATTCTTTAGTAATAAACAATAAAAAAAAAACTTATTTTTGCCTTTTATTTTTAAAAAAAAAATCATTTTAAATCTTTAACTTTGAAATTTGAGTTATTATTGTTCACATGAAATAGTAACTATTTTGATTTTGGAATGCAATTTTGAATTTTGTTTCCTTCTGATTCAATACGTGAAACTGCATAAATAAAAATTATAAAATTCAGTTAATGTTGAAATAAAAAATAATTATATTAAATAGAAGTAAAATGTTCGTATCTTAAATAATATATTGAAAAAAGAATAAAAATACTTATTTTCTTCTTTGAGTATTACACTGACATTTTGATCTTTGAGTTTTTTTTTTTTTTTTTTTTTTT